TTATTCATAGATTTTTTCTATTGATTTTTCCCTCCTTTTTTTTTTTTTTTTTTTTTTCATTAGGTTTCGAACTTTGTCTACCCGCTGCTATTGGTGATTGATTCTTGGAAAATGACATTGTAGGCCATTTGTGCCTCATGTTTATAGTTAATATACTACTGTTTTAAGCGTCTAATAATCATTTTTGATTGAGAACAAGAGCGTAACTCCCCGAGCTTACAGCATTCTTTTGAAAGGAGAGGCATAATCATTTGAAAACATAGATAATAATGTCTGCAAAGCATAAGGCAAATTCCGGAATACTTGCTTTTTTAATTGCTAGTGAATTGATTGGACATTGCACGGGCATGAATTTGTTCCTTGCATGGTTCCAAGATTTAAATCAACAATTTCTAATCTTTGTGGACCTTTGCCTAGAATTAAAATCTATACAATGACATGACAATTTCTTTGAAATTTTTCTTGAAAAGATTTCATTTTGAAGCAGATAATTAATCATTTGCTTCCCATGTTCGGTAATAACAGAGACGGAGCCAGAGGATAATTTTATTTTATTTATTTACGTGGAAGAATTTTTCTCTTCATAAAGTTGGGTTGGCAAAAAAATCACGTAAATATGGTCGAAAATAAATTTAAAGAAATACGAGTTTTAAAAATTAATTAATGTAACAGAGAAATTAGTGATTAGTTACACAAGTGTAGGTAGCATTCCTCCCCGTAATTATGACCATTAAAAATAATGAATAATGTTACTTATACATAATGAAGTTACACAATAATTTACATACAGATAAGATGTAAAAAAAAAAGTGGTGAAGTTTTATTTATTTATTTAAAAAAGTATGTCAAATCATATCTTACCACATTATGTATATGTAAAACATTCTGTAAACTATATTGTATACAAAATACAATCCAAAATTAATTAATCTTAGTGGATTTGGACCTACTAACTTTTAATTAGGGTAATTAACTAGGTTTAGCCTTTTCATTTAAGTCAAAATTATTCATTTAAATAGACCCATCTCTTCAAAGTAGCCTAATTTATTTATCTTAGCCTAAAAATATTTAATAATATCATCAATTGACTATTAGGTCCGGGATGAACCTAAATAGAAGATAATTTTTCAACTTGTCAAGCCTACCTACCAATAGGTTCCATGAGGTCAAAAGTTAGAGTCGTGTTTGAGCTTGGGATGAAGTGTATAAACAAACATTTCATAAGAATGCATCGTTACGTATTAAGCCCTTATTTGGTGGGAATTAAAATCAAATTTTTAGTAAATTTTGATAAAAGTTATTGAAATATGTGGTTGAAAAGTTGTGGATCCTATAAAATGTGTAATTAAAATTAGTTGTTGATTTTGACTTAGATTAAAATCAGGACCCCGTTTGATCTCATTTTTACGAAAATATATTTTCTATCTTCTTTTTAACTACACATTCTTCATTAAAATATTATTACACGTAAATAAAAAACTTTTCCTTATATTTCATCCACACATTTTCCATCAATCTACTATTCTAAAATTTATTTTTCCATAATCCATAAGAATGAATGTCAAACACCCTCTAGAATTTTAATTTGCACCAAATAGGGGCTAAATTGTTGTCTTTACTTCTCTACCAAAATGTTATAGATGCATGCTCGTCTAGATTATTTTGAATTCTAAAATTTGAAATTCTGATTATGTTTCTACACAAACAACAATAATTATTAAAGCAATTAATACTTAGCCAAAACTTTATGGAACCTACAATTTTTATCAATTTATTAAAAATACATTTTATTAATTTGTTTTAAATTTTTATCGAAAACTTTGTCAAACGATTTCTGAATACGGGAATATTTTTTTCTTTATGATATATTTTTGGTGCATTAAATTGCACGAGTAGACAACAACTCACAAAGTAATCTCCTAAAGTCACTTAAATTCTACGGATCTATTTACAGCTACAACTTAATAGTTAGAGATTATGCTGCAATTATAACCATCATAATGGCATGCCACACAGCAATCTGGAATCCAAAGCATCAAGGTGGCAGAAAGCTACTTATTACTTAAAAATAGATTATAATCACCTACCAAATAAGCTAATTATAATTAATATGACCAACTAAGGACCCGTTTTATAGAATTATTACTTTTTGTAGAATAACTTTATCACGTTTGACAAAATTACTATTTTTGTAGAAATGTTTCTTGAAGAAGTTACCTTAACCCAAATTCTTTTAAAAACTTTTATAGTTAGGTAAAACATTTTCAGACGTGTTAAAAAATAACTTTTAACCTTTTAAGAATTTTGCCAAATGGATCCTAAGTATATTTCAATTATCTGGTGTTACTCTTCATAAACAAAGGTAAAATTCTATGTTTTTAAGTAAAACATAACATAATACACAAATAGCCTTTGTTTAGTGTGGATTAAAATCAAATTTTTAATAAATTTGATAAAACTTAAGAAACACGTGGTTGAAAGATTATGAATATCAAAAAATATATAATTAAAATTAATTATTAACTTTGATTAAAATGAATTTTATTATTTGTGCATCGAGAGTTCCCTCATAATAGGGAGCTTGTGCCCAATAAAATAAATAAATTGTGAGCTCCCCTTTCATGAGGGCTGTAGAACCAGATTAAAATTGGGTATATGAATTTCACATTACAAAATAACAGAGACTTTGGACAGTTTCTGACTAAATTATTATTTTTACAATAGTTTGGGGACCTATGATGTAATATTTGAAATCCTTAACCACTATTTATAACCACGCCTCCACTTAACAATAGCTTATTACGTGTCAATATAGTACTCCTACACGTGGTAGTAGGTCCCGCCACATGTGGGCCCCACTAGTTCCTTCTAAGTTCCATCGAAGGTAGTCCAGCCCCCATCCTGTCAACCTATTCTATTTCCTTTTCAATACATACTCGCTCACACTCACAGTGCTCTCATTAATGTCCGCCTTCCTCCTCTTATCTGTACTTTCTCTCTCCAAAACTGCAGAAATGTAACTTTTTGTCTCTGTCCGTCTCTCTCTCTATCTTTCTGTATCTGTACTATTTGCATGCATAGTCCTGCTCCTGCTCTGATTTTCTGTCTCTTGAATGTGTATGCAAGACGCTGATGATAAGGATCTTTCGTTGTTCTAGGTGTTTAAAGGTGAGCTGAAGAAAAGCTATGAAAATAATGGAGATGGATTCCGAGATGGAGCTGTAATGTGCTTTTTTGCGAGAATTTGGATTCCGCTCTAGTTTTCTTTTTTCTAAAGAGAAAAGGTTTTGCTTTTTGTCTACTGTGTTTGAATTTCTCGAGAAAGCGAAAATGGAAAGAGCTCGACAAAGGAGGTCCAGGAGTACTACAAGCATTGAATTTGAAGGTACTTTTTTCCCCTTTTGATCCTGCTTGTATGCATTTTGTTTTTGCAGTGAAATGTGAATCAAAATCGAAAGGTTTTCTGAGTTTGTTTCAGTGAAATTTCGCAATCGTTAATATTTCTTTGGTATCATTGAAGCATAAGAAATGAAATCTCATCAAAGATTTTATTCTAATGAATTTTATTAACGAAATATTGGAGAAATTTTCTGTTCTCTTTAATTAAGGTGTTTTAAATTAAAAATTTGAGATTTTCCAAATATCAAAAAGGAAAGGGAAAAAAAAATGAAATTCCCTTTATAATATTGCCCGCGAATTTTATTTACAATTTCCTTAGATTCTATTTAAGCAGGTTCTGAAATTTCCCAATTTTCATAAGTGTGCTTTCTACTGTATTTTTGGAATTTTTAGATAGTATAGAAGATTTTCATTTTATATTTTCCCTGTTTGCTAAATATCTTATTCTGCTGTTTTGTTCAAAATTTTTGGATGGATTTATGTGGAATTATTATCAGCTTTGAATTATACACGTAGAGTGCTCATTTATTTGACAGACAACTCCGGATTGATTAAACGTATCTTAGTTTGTGCTAGCAAGCATGCACTCGTTCGTTGTACTGTTGGTGACTTTATTTGGATTTGTATTCAGGAATTCAACGGATTCAGAAACGGATTCAGAAACAGGAAGCTATTTCAAAATTGTATTCGGAATCTCATCCTTATATTGATGGAACCACAAGAAAGGATATGGTGCGTGGATATCTATTTTCCTTTATATGATTTGTCCATGATGTAATTGAGGTGCTAAGGTACTTTATGGCACTTTCACTTTGCCTGTAGAGTCTCGAATGTTCGATAATTTTGACTTGGCCTTTGCAGTTCATGCTTGAATCGGGGTATAGCTCTCCTATACGAGCCACTGGAATCCAGATGAAGAAGTTACTGGCAGAAGAAAAGCCAAAAGAAGTTGAAGCGAAGAGAAGATCGCCAAGGGATATGCCTATACTGATTAGTCTTGATGGGCAACAAAGATCAAGGTCATTGGATAGCTATCGACTGGAAAATGCATCGATGAGAACTCAATCGAGCAGTCAACTTTCAGATGGCCATTCGAGTAGGAGAAGCTCAATGAAGAAGCTGGCATTCAAAGATGTATATGAAGATCTGGAAGCTTCACATGTCACTAATCGACATTACTCGTCAATAGAGTGTTCAAGCTCGAGGCTTACACAATCTGAGATGGCACTCTTTCAGCAGAAGTTCATGGACGCAAAATGTCTTTCAATGGATGCAAAGCTTCAGCGTACAAAACAGTTTGATGATGCACTAGAGATGCTTGACTCAAATACGAATTTAATGCTAAAATTTCTCCAGAAACCAGATTCTTTGTGTGCAAAGCATTTGCATGATTTGAAAGTTCATCCTCCCAGTCAGATAACAGTTTTGAAGCCATCAAATTCTGCAAAATGTGAAGGAAATGTGAAAGCGTGGGAATCAGAGAGACATATTTCATGTAAACATGACTTCACCTGTGATGAGAAACGGGAAGATCGTCTTTTACTCCACTTGCACAGTCGTCATAGAGCTCACGTTTCTTGCAAGTCCAAGGTTCATTCAAAGGAAAATGATGAGAAAATAACTCTTCCCACAAGAATTGTTGTTCTCAAGCCAAACCTCAGGAAGATGCACAACACAGGTAACTCTCCTTCACAGCCTGATTACTCGCATGGTTTTCTTTCCAATGTCAGAAAGCTGAAGGAATATCCAATTGATGGAGGTGCTGAAACACAATCATTGGGAGGAAAAGAATCCTCTGATGACATGAGATTCTTGAAGCCCTGTTCAAGAGAAGCTAGAATAATTGCCAGGGGAATTGCAAACAATATAACACATGGCTGTGATGGAAGGATTGATCTAATGTCTTCTAGAGTAAGAGGATATGCAGGGGATGAGAGTTCGTGTGATGCTTATGAAAGTGATTCAGGCAGTGAGTCAGACGTATTTAAAGTGTCCTCTAGAAATTCCTTCTGTCATTATAACTGGTGTGAATATTCCTCTTCTGATTTACTCAAGTCATCATCCATCAGTAGGGAGGCAAAGAAAAGACTGTCTGAGAGGTGGAAGACGGGTCACAAATATAAAGACATTGAAATGGTTGCTAAGGTTAGCACACTGGGTGAAATGCTTGCCATACCTGAGAGTGAAACAGAACTTGAAAATGTGAATGCTAAGGTGGATCTTGATAGAGAATGCGATAGACTTGCTAGAAACAATGGAACTGTGGATTGGCCTTCTGGAATCAGCAGCAGGGATGGTTGGAATAATAAACTTATTAAATCTTCATCTAGATCAAAATCCCTTCCTCCATCTGAAAATGGCAGAATTCACAGAAGAAGTGCACATTGTGATGCTATTGCTGAAGACAAATATCTCATGCATATGGATTCCTTGAGTCGCGGTAGAAGAAAGACCGTGAAGGGAAATCTGTACCCGAAAGAAGATTTTTCACTCAAAAATTTAACCAGGAGCAAGAAACATCTTTCACTTCACCGTGCAACTATTGGGGAGACAGATTCTTCACTGGAAGCCAGGTTTGAGATTCAGATGGAGACAAACCTTGAGAAGGATCCATCTGAACAACAGCACATGCCTCAGATGGCAACAGAGGATGTCAACTGCACAAGTCCTGAGTTAACTTCAAAATATTCTGAGTTGTCTTTGAAGCAGTCTTCTTCAGAGGTAGAAAATGTCAACACTTTGGCTCACAACGAACCGGTTCCCAGTTTCCAGGTTCGGACTTTCACTGTCTGCAAACAAATTTTATCAGTGAGCATCAATGCAGTGACTGCAAAAACCATGCAAGCCTGCTTCTTTTAAATGTTTTATTTTTCACTTTAAAGTTTTGCATGCCCCATAATTCTAACCTTGTTGGGTGAGCTTTATCTTCTCTATTTCCTTGAATTAGCCACATTAAATTGATAAATGGCGCTGTTTCATTTATTATTTGAAACTTTTCATTGTGTATTACAAACATGCCTAGTTGTACGTGTTGCTTGTAATTTCTTTCCTAGCTGTGGTGTTACGAAAACTCATCTTATTAAATGATCTTTGCTTTCAACTTGACATTTTCAGTTTTTATTGTCACCTGTTGGGGAAGATTCCAATCTTGTCACTGGACTCGAAACAAATATACATTCCACAAGACGCATAATAGAAAATTTCTAAATCAAGCATTTTAATATTTTTACTGTAGCTGATTGCTGCTGTATTTATTATTGCATTTCAAGCTTTGACTGGAATCAATGTTACATTCTGTGACGAAAAAATCAAGTACATTGTACAGTAGTTTTTCAATTCTTTCTGGCTGTGAACTTAAATTTATTCAGAAGGCAGCAAACACAGATTGTTGTCTGTTGGAGAAACAACAGAACAAGAATCTGTTGCTAAAATAGTGTTTGTTTTGGTTTTTTTCCTTATTCTTTTGAAGTACACAGTTATTCTTTTATATTTAGTCTCATAAGTAGGCGCTATTTGATTATAGGGGAAAGGTTAGAACAACACAGCAGAAATTATTAATCACTATCTGTTGCATAATTATACAATTACACTTTTATTCTCCTTGCTTGTTATGCCATTTTAATTTCTGGTATTTGCCACGCCAGAATGTAAATTTCTAATTAATGTTTGTGATAGCTGTTACACACCTTACACATTTTTATTAAGACATGACATTATTGTTAAGTATTTCAGGTGATTATTGAATCCATAGTATAGTAAGATTTCATTTATTATTTTAGTTGTGGACTGCCACTTCACTAAATTATGCAATGATTTATTCATTACAAGTATTCATTTCCACCTTTCACGATGTTCCAGGGGCCACACAAGGGATCACCCCAACAAGGTACGGATCCTGGTTCTTCAGAAAACTTGCTTCAAGCTGATGATCCCAGTCCAGTTTCGGTCCTCGAGTTCCCTTTTATAGAAGATGTATCATCTGTTTCTGAATGCTTTGAGAGAGTCAATGCTGAACTTCATGGTACGAAGCTACTTAATCTGTACCATTAGATTTTATTTTATTTTATTTTATTTTTTATTTTTTTCTCGGGGGGCCAGGGAGGGATCTATTGGCAATTAACTAATTGTATGTTCTACCTAAAATAGTCTCCAAGAGTCTTGAGTTGTAGCTTGAGCTCCTGAGCTATTAAGCTAGAGTTCCTGTTAGTATAGAGTTAAAGATTTCCTTACTGCTTCCTAAGACCCTTTAAAGTATTTTTAATACCGTAGTACCTTCTATGAGTTAACTCTCATTAGAGATTTATTTAGGGGCCTTTGATTAGAGGATCTCTAACTCCTTAGCAGGAACACTATTAATGATCCTACAACTGCTCCAGGTCCCCAGAGGGTGAGGGCTGCCTCCTGCTCTCTGATTCACCACCGGGATAATTATGGACCTTTTCTTCTTACAGCGTTTGGCCTTTCAGATGCTTGCAGCAGCCAAAAGCTTAGTCATATGAGTTAAATGACCTAAGATCACAATATGTAATTTTTTTTTTAAATTTTAAATTTTTATTTTTTTATAACTATTTAAATTAGATGGTGGTGTATAGCATGAACAAATATAGGAACATTCATTTTGAAGGTTAACAATTTTTTCATACAGTGGAGCTGGATCTTTTGTATTAAATTTGGGGAGAAATGTGATTTTGAATGCTTATCAAGAGAAGAACACGTGACAAACAAAAATTAAAATAAATGATGTCCCCACCATGCTGAAATAGTCACCAATTATTTATTTTTTTAAAGCTTCAATAAGGTCTATAAGCTAAATTGGTGCTTAGTTCATGGCACTTGATAGTGTTGGTCTGTTGGATCCTATGTTATTGTATTCAGTACTTGCTTCAATCATCAGCTTCTCTACAGACAAATCCCAGACTAGTCTGTCTTTGTTTGATGAAATGTAGAGGTCCTGTTATTCTTAGAGAGGAAGCCTACATATGTAACAACCCGGGTACCAAGCCGTTATATCATACGCACTATCTACTTTGAGAGAGCTTGAGACCATCTTAGGAATTAGGATTCAGTTTGTGTTTCTCATAAGTCAGATATCTTGGGTGATGAGCTCAGGATCTCCCAAAACATAGAATATGTAGATATAACGACTGCGACACGAGGCCGAGTTGTTACAAAAAATGAACCTCGTGTTTGATATGGATCACCTAAGTCCAATTTATCCAATTGGTACCAAGATTCAATTTAAGCCTTATCATAAGGGAAAAGTTTTAGGTTCGAATCTTGAGGGACTTGATAGAATTCATAAGAGGTAATATTAACTTATACTCTCTCAAAATAGACAATAAGTAAGTTAATGGCTTGGGCACAAGCCCTAGGTTATTACAACGTATGTAGATCTTATATATTTGTTGGATCAGCTCATTTATCTTAGCTGCTTATAATACTAAAATTTATTATGGATATAAACCTAGCTTTACTAGATGCATGATAATTCTCACGCTGTCCATGCTAATTTTCATGATAAATGCATTCTCTCTGTTTTTTTCCTTTTCATAATTTTTTAGACTAGTATAGTTTTCTAAACATTCTCTCTATCTTCTATGTTGTAGAACTGCGAATGCAACTGCATCTCCTCAAGACGGAGTCACAAGCATGTGTCGAGGCACCCACTCTCATTTCAAGCAAAAATGACATTGCACAAAAATCACTTACGGTTTTTGAGGAAAACAATATGTTAGGAGCTGAAGCCTGGAAAACTCCTTACGTTCACGATGTGCTAATTGGTTCTGGTTTTGAAGATTCGGACCTCTATATGTTTAGGACAACATGGTACTCCCCAGAATGCCCTTTGAGCCCATGGTTGTTCAATGACCTCGAGAAGAAATACAATGATGAGATAACTGGTTTGAGGGACGAAAGAAGGTTGCTATTTGACAGAATAAATTCAGCACTCTTGGAGGTGTTCCAGCATCATGTTGACTTGTACCCCTGGGTGATGCCAAAAATAAAGAGAGCCAATTCAACCAGTCAGAAAAAAGTGGTTAGAGATGCTTGTCAAAGATTGTTAACAGGCCATGATTTTGAAGCAGAAGGGAACGTACTGGAAAGAATACTTGACAAAGAGATGCAATGGTTAGAATTCAAAGGAGAAATTGACGAGATAGGTAATGAAATTGAGATATTATTGATAGATGAACTGATAACAGAGTTTCTATGTAGTTTTTAAAACAAACTGGTGTAGTGTAGTTGGTATCGTAGGCCAGATGATCAGGTTGTTTTAGAAGTGAGAGAATAAAACTATACTTTGAATTTATCCAAAGGTAAAAGTAAGTTATGATGGAAATATAGTTCTAATAATTGACCTGCTGCCTTATCAGCTTTGTTGTTTTTACCAAGTTGCAAAACAGTTTTCGAAATTGAATATTGGATTACCTCATGTATAAACTTGTGAACCCTTCTACATTGAAGAAGTTCTTGAGGTTACTCAAGTTTTGGTTATGCCATGAATATCTGATACTGACGTATCTAAATATGAACATTTCTCTTCTTTAGAAGTTTAGTGGCAGGAATTCTTTGGTGCTGAATCAGGATATTTAGGAAGAATATATTGTGTCACAACTCTGTACTGTCAGGAACTCCTGACACTGCATGGGAACAAGTTCATTTTCGAAGCATGTTTCCCTTTCGATAATTTTCTATTGGCGCTTCACCCCTCATTCCTTTTATCGAACATAATGAATAATGATACAAATAGGGCTTTAATGAGTTTTAATATGCTTATGTCAAGCATTTTCGTTTTCTCGGCCTTGGATATCAGACAAAGGATTTCCTGGTGGATCTTGATATGGTGAGATCGAAACAAAGATAGTAAATATGATTCTGTTGAACTTAAAGCCAATGGGTTTTTTCTGTTGAAAATACTGTGGTTTTTCCTACAAATTAGGAATTTGAATTGCAGGATTCAGATACTTTATTTCTGGCTTCAGATTATTTCTAGTGTTGACACAATTGTGTTCACTTATATAGGTCATGCATCTTATTACAAGTTTAAGCATCTAAGGTAAAATGTGCTTAATGGCGTTTTTGTTTTCTGTTTTCGATTTTGAATTTATTTTCTGTTTTAATGAATTATTTTAATATTGCAGAAAACATGTTTGATTTATCATTCTAAAAAAATTGTTTCTCAAAAGAAAAAAATAGAAAACAAGTTTGGTTTAAAAATTTTAGAAATAGTTTTATACATTTTATTTTTTTTTTACAATTAATTTGATTATATAGTAAAACATATCAATTTTATGCAAATATGTTATGAAAAAATATAAATTTTAGAGTTAGTAAAAAGAAAAAAAGGAATCATAGTAAATATATCTCCAACAATCACATCAAAACCATCGGTTAGAGAGAGAGAGATTTGTATTTGAGTAGGTTTTTATTTTTTTTTATTAATTATTTAATTTGAAAATTTTTAAGATCATTTTCTTGGTTTTGAATATTTTAATTGAAAACACTTAAAATGTAAAAAAGTCATTCTAAGTTATATATTGATAACTCATCTGTTTCCTTGGACTCTAAATAATGCCCTTTTGGACGTTGTAGCTAATATTTTTTATTTTTTGAAATAAAAGTTTCGAATTGCATTAATAAATGTCGTCACGAGCTGTGGACGAGATACGAAAAGGCGTACATTGATCCAACTTGCATACACTTGACGTGATACAACCACTGACGCTAGCATATGGGCCACTTTGTTAGTGTCTCCAATCATGATATAAAATAGATCTAAATTGTGATTTATATTTCGAAAATGGTCGAAAACCTCTCTAATTGAAAGATGTAAAGAAAATGTAAAATACGCTTTTCAACAAAAACAAGAATTAAAAAGGGAACTTAGTTCTTATTGAAACAAGATTTGAATTTAAATCTATCGGGATATAAATGAAAATGTAAAAGTGATTTTGAAAATACTAATTTACACCAATTTTTACACCACCATTGGCGATACTCTTACCACAGTGGTAATGAAATTACATTGCCCACAATTAATGTCCTAGAACAAAGAGAAAGTATCAAATTAGTATAGCATCGTCTCACAAAAATTGATTATTGACTCTAAAAGAAGACGAGATATAATGAACACAAGTATCAAGGTGAAAATCAATTAAAGAAATAGTTAGAAATCTCAATTTCACTAATTAACCCTACTCAAATTCAATTCATATTATGATCAATTGTTGTGTTTCCGGTCAATAAATTCCTAATAAAATATTCATTTACATCTCTTGATTATTAGCTAACCTATCCCTAAATAAAAAAATTTCTTTCTCAATTAATATTTCGATAAAAGTGATGCATAAGAACTTAGGATGACAATTAAAAAAAATTACATTTCTCTTAATTTAACAATAAATTCATGAAAAGTAACTTTGCGTGTTCTGACATGCAGTCTTTCGATGTAACATATAACAAATATTGTATAATTTAATTCTTGCTAACAAACATGAAAATAAATCAGTTGTTCTAACTCAACACAATATAATAAGAGAAATCCAAAACAATGAGTTAAAATAATAATGGAACTCAATTAGCTCCATTGTTTGTCAAAACAAATAATTTTGCCAAGAAACATAAAAGAAATCAAGTCAAAAAAATTTGACATAGACATTAACTGCTATTTTAAGAACAAAAAGATATGATGAACCTCTTCAATCTTTAAATTCAAGAAACCCTAACATCGTCAAGTGTGAATCTTCAATAATTCTTGAGTAATACTATGTAGCTTCACTGTAGTTGCAACTACTATCTAGTTAAATGAAATGTGAAATAAAATGAGTTATTTAATTCTATCTATTAATTAATATCACATTAGCGCTATCTAAACTAGGATTGTAATCATAGTGGGGCTAAATAACATTACTCATAATTCTTTGGAACGTCTCTTGGGGGCTATTTGGAACTTTTTTAAGTTGAACCCCAAGTCCTTTAAACTTTTTATCATCATCCACTTCAAGCTTTCATCTTTTGGTCATCATCTTTGCAACATACCCAAAATTGGTCCTCAAGCTTTTATTTTGTCCATTTTGGTGGTCATCGGACTTTTGATTTGTCCATTTTTGTTTCCAAACTTTTTAAGTGTCCATCTTAGTTCGCAAAATTTATGAAATCTTTCAATTAACTTTCAATGTTGTCCAATTGAGTATCAATACTTGTCAACCTTCATTCAACATCCTCTTTTTATTGAGTTAACTCTCCAAATCACTTCATTTTGCTACGATATCTTCAAATTGGGGATTTAACATATAAAGGTCAAATACAATATAAAGCGATTAAAAATTCACTCAATGAATAAACTTTTAAGTAAATTTGGGAGCTCAAATAAGTGTGTCAAGAGACAAAACACAGACCCTAAATAATTCGGAATGAATCACTCTCGACAAAATAAACTTCAAAACCATGAGATTTTGCAAACAAAAGCCCTTCTCGTAATGCAACAAACCGCATCATCAATTTGGAATGCGCAGCCACCATCACACCTGACCATCTTGAACCATCGCTTCAATCCCCAAAAAGTCATGACCTCCTTGTACCACCGCATCAGTATTTAGCTTAAGAAGTCCCGCTTCAGGGTGCTACCACTTCTTTCTCCCACTCCCAACCTGGTCTCTTCCCCCTCACTCCTTGTCTGCTCGTAAACTGTTCATAGTCCATATGGACGAAGTCAAGATTGGACTAAATAATATTTTGTGCTGAACACATAATTTTTTTTCTTGTTAATTACTTTGGTAATTTATCTGTTTGTATGGGCTTTGAACCCATTTATATCAATATTCTTTCTCCCACTAATTTTCTAAACGTGCTTTCCATCTTTTGATACGATAAAAGAATTTAAGTTCTTTATCTTCTATTTTGTTTATAAAAATTATGCTCAATAAAAATTATTTTTGTTTATAAAAATTATATTCAACTCTTGTTAGAAGGCAAAATTAAATATTTACACCTTAAAAATCAAAACCATAAAACATTTCAATAAAAAACTACCATTTGCCAAGTGTCTAAACTTAACTAGCTCATAAATTCAAAATGTTCATCTTATAATGAAAAACTAAATCATACGAAGTTCAATAATTTTAAAGCATATGCACAAACAAAATTGTTAATCACACTTTATATCACTTTAATCTCGAATTCTTTTTCTTCTTCCATTGCTCCTTCTACATGTATAACATTTAGCCCATGTTTGAGCCACATTCTGGAAAAAAAATGCATTATTCATGTCAAATCAATGAAAAATGTGTGATTAAAAAATAAGTAAAAATTTTAAATTTGCGTGTAATATTATTTTATTGAAAAATGTGTGGTAGAAATAATGTCAAATCACTGTTGAAAAATGCATTTTTTTAAAAAAATAATGTGTCTCAAACAAGTATTTAATTATAAATCCTGTTCCATCGTACCCATAAACAATAAACCTACCCAAAAGATAAAATCGAATAAAGTAACAATAATAACCAAAAAAAATAAAATTTCATATGAAATATCTAACTTAAATATGAACAAAAATGCATAAAGGAGCAAAAAAATTCCTATCAAATATGCAACCCAAATTAAAAATTCTTTTCTACCTCCCCATAAATAATAAACACGCTCAAGAGAAATAAAAATAGCTATAATTACTTAAAAAAAATAACTAACTAATTAAATACCCAACATAAATATGAACAAAAACATAAAAAAACAACAAAAAAATTCTTACCAAATATGCAGCAACACTTGATCTCATCTGGCTTTTAAACTATAAAATTTTCCAAAGAAAAAAATATTTAATTTGATACTCAATAGTCAATACTTTAAAGAACTTTTAAGAAGTCTATAAAAATCTAAATAAATTATCTCAATATTTTTATAAAATCTTAAAAACCCTATATTGAATACACCTAATTTTTTGTTTGTAATCTTTAAAAATTTGGATTGAATAAACGTCAAATAAAAATTTTCCATATTCACCCATTATAAATCTTAATACATACACGGCATAATATCATATATCATTATTATTTTTTATATGTTTGACCAATGTGATTAATTTCAGCTGATTCAGTGGTTATTTACTTAATTTATCATTAATAGCCTCCAAAGCAACCGTCAATTGTCTGAATCAAAAACAGTAACAAGAAAAGAAGATCTTCCCCGTTTTAGTAAGGAATTAACATTCAATTTTCAAGAATATCAATTCATATAATGGCGCAATTAATTAAAATAATCCATTAATATATCGTATGCTCTCCTCATCTATTTAAAGGCCTTGCAAGAGAGAATGGAATTATAAGTATAAATCAAATTTGAAGAAGAAGCATAAGAATATTAAGATGGCTGGACAAAAACTGCTTTCTGCAATAATTTTGCTTGCACTACTGGTTTTAGGGTTTACCAGTAGCAATACTGCAAATGCAAGAGCTGTGGCGGAGGACAAGAGGAGAGTATTTGGGAAGCTACCTAAAGGGCCCGTTCCACCATCTGGGCCGTCTCACGGAAGTACTCCCGATCTGCCATCACCACTGCCCGTTCATCCTTCTTTCGTGGCTCATCGTGTCCATTAATAATCTTTCCTTTTCAAAAATTTACCTGTTGTGCATATTGGGTATGCAATATTCGATAATTATCAAATAAAACTTTTATATTATGAAGCTTTTCACTTGTGATTGGTATATATGATGCTCCATTAGTGTTAAAGACATGGAAAAGGTGTGTAATCTCTATCAAGAGATAACAAAGATGAGGATCAGGACGTTGAACAATATTTAAAGTTTAAATTGACGTGATTTGATTGTTTATTGAAATGGATCATATCGTGCATAATTTTTATAAATAACTAGAGGTTAGATTTCAACTCAAGATTTCTTCATCCAAGGTTAAAGGCATTGTTGGTCACTCAACGTTTTGGCAATTTGATATAAGACATGTTTGATGTAGATTTTTTTAAATAGATTTTCTGGAAAGTGACTTTTCAAAGAATATGTAATTAAAAAGTAGGAAAAATTATGCCATTGTTAATTCAGGAATCCAGATGAGCACGAATGGATCCAAGTAAGCACCGTTGCCATCGAATGGCTGCCCCAATATAAGAAAAAATTCCTGGTGGAGCCAACACAGGCGCCCACAAGGACTCGTCGGGTACTGGCTCCACCCCTTGGTCCATGTGCAAAGTTATTTTTATTAGAAGGGTGTATGATTAAACATGAATTTTTTTAATATATGTACCAAAGACGGGCGTAGTTGCACAAATTAATATTTTTTCCAACTTCGTGCTCAAGTTGTCATGGATCCACAAAAAAATTTTAATTTTAAATAATTTAAACTTTTAAATTAGCCCGTGGTTCAATAATATTTTGAATCAAAAGTGAAGCAAAATATTTAGCTAGCCTCACAATTAATGTCCAATAGAAAGCAATAGTTTCAAGAAAGTGACAACTCATAAACAATAAACCTAATTTACACCAGCTAAATGTAACATGCGATTTGCATAAAATCCTTGCACTGGAACTATGAAGCAACTATTCCTATGTAGTCCTTCTATAGTAGTGAGGTGCCAGAATCAAGTAGCGCCGGCCTCCACGACATGGCATTCCTCAACTTTGATATGCTTTCAAGGACACCCAATGAAGTCACATTTCCAATCACCGTCACCTTCTTCCCCGCAAAATCTATGTTGAAAGAAGTTACCCCTACATAAATGGATAGTTATCAAACTTGACTCGAACATTGAGACATCACTAGTTCATCTGGTGCACCTTATAAATTACCATGACAAAACAAGAACCAGTTACTCAGATACATGTACATATATGTATGGTCCCCTCAAGTTAGCCAATAGCTACCCCACCCCAGAAAGAAAGATTCAGACTAGATAAATGAAAAGGCCAAAAATTATGACAGTCTGTGTTGTTCTACCAGAAGATTTTAATGAGGTGAGAGTACAGGCACAAGAGGATAAAGATTTAAAGGAAAACAGAAAGAGAAATACTGACCAGGAATTAATGTACTTACCTTCCATTTTAGAGATATGTTTTTTCAATTTCTTTTCGCATCCTCTACAATCTAGTGACACTCTAAGAACAACCACCTGCAGCAAGATTCAATAAAATATGGTTTAATTCATCAAGGAACAAGATTTAAACCAAATTTTAGATATAATAATAATGAATAAGCAGAAAATTAGATTTCTGGGGGGAAAGAACTCCTTCTGGAGGCTATTTTGGACAGCATGTAAAGTCGCAGTGGTGAAAAAGATATCGTTTTTAGCTTTTAGGTTGGGCCAAACGTGCTATTAAAATGGAAGGAACCTGTAGTGGAGATGGCGGTTTTGAATCGGACGACTCATCTGTTTCCTTGGCTTCAGACAGCTTGGATTCATCTCCAGGAACCAATTCCAGACCAGGATCAGATTCCGATAACCCGCCCAAGGGAGATTTATCATTCAACAAGTACCTAGTAGAACTCGCAGGGCTGATATAATCTCCAGCCCTGGTGCAACTCCAGCTCTTCCTTATATCGCTAGAATTAATCTTATTATCATCCTCATTTGTATCGAAATTACCGCTTTTTATTTTTTGACCATTTGGCTTCATGAATTTCATTTTTTCTTCTTCAGCATTCTCCTCTGAAGAGTTCTGCCGGTTATTTTTCTGCTGTTTTTTGCGTTGCTTGGGACTAATAGGCTGCTGCTGTGAATTGCAAGGTGGGAGGGATTTTCCGTTTCTTCTCGAGTCTCTGATAATGGGATTGTACCTGTCTATAGATCGGCCACTCCCAAGGCCAAGTTGAATGGTCGAAGAAGAAGAAGAGGATTCTTCCATACTCAGACAAACAGATGTTGCAACTTGAGATGCACAGAATATATCACTACCTTTCATCTCTTCTTGACAATGTAGTTTGTGAAATAATAGATCAACTGGACTGATGGTTGGGTTGAGAAAAGGAAGGATGAAGGTAAGATGTTAAGGTTGAGTTATTAGAATGAAGAGATAGGGCTTAAGGGGTCCACAAAAAGTTAACAAATAATTGTAGTCCCAAGATGATTGAAACCACGGTTTTATCAATTTTTCAACCACATGTTTATTAACTTTTATCAGAATTTTTAGAAATAGAGGCTAAGGGCATCTCCAACAATTACATCATTGCACCATTTTACACCATTTTTTGGTGTAAAATTGCTCCAATACAACACCAAACTTTGCACCATTTTGGTGCAAAATGGTGCAAAGTGTAAAATGTCTCTTTTGCCATTATTTAACATTTTTCAAATAAATTTGTTAAGAGTATTTATGTCATTTGTGTTATATATTTTTTAATACAATAAATTATTATTATTTTTATTAATATTATTATTATTTGCATTTAAAATAAATTTTAAATGTAAGACATCATAATTAATAAATTAATTAAAAGACGAAAACAATTTTAAATACACCAAATACGATTATTTATTAAAGTTAACACGAATTATAAAGAAATTCACATTGCACTTCGAAATGTATTAATCGATCATTTGTGGGATGAACATATGAATTCTGAGAATTAAATTGCAAAAATTTAGCCACTTCGTAATATCGTCTATCTAAATTCGAAATGCATTGTACTATTTTCGGCATGATTTCATAATTTCGTTGTTTTAGTATTTTTATTATTTGTTCTATATTTTTTATACTTATTAATGAATTTAATTTTTTCCGTAATTTAACGTAATTATTTATTTAGTAATTTATGTATTTATGAAATAATTAAATAAATAATATTTCAAATAAATAAATTATAAAAAATAAAAAAGGGAAGAAAATGGTTAATCACTGCTCATTTAGTGTAATTTTTAGTGTAATGGTTGAAGACGAATTTTAATTTGATGTAAAATTTGGTACATGGTTGGACATGGCCTAAGCCAAAAGTAGACAAATACTATTCTCATCGATGTATTTGCAAAATTACACTATTAAATTGTTTGTGAAATGTAAAAATCATTTGAAAGTATAACTTATCGTAATAGTTTAACTTTATTTAAAAATCGAACCGAGCAGTCTTCATGGGTTACCGAGCTAGAAAATTCAACCCTACATATACCACCTACTATTGTGAGGCATACCTGTGAACTTGATTAAGGACTACAATTCTGGTAGTAATAATCTATAACTTTAGCTGCACGGAAGATTCAGATCTATCTTCAAAGTTTCATGGTATCTTGATAGTGGCTTAAATGAACCACATATTGCTGTTGCACCAATAAAATGTGACTTCTTGTGCCCACCATGTGTTTGCTCTGATGAAAATATTATGTAACAACCATTAATAATGATATTAAAGTTAGGGAGTACAATAATATATAGTTGTCTTGATTCTTGACCGAACCTGACTAACTTTAAGGGTTCATTTGATTGTAAAGATGGAATTTGGGTGGAAAAAAAATGAATTTCAGGAAATTAAATTGTCTAGAAATTATTTTCCTGATAATTGTCAATTTATTATGTTTGATTGGTATAATTTTTCATGTGAAAATGCTAAAATAAAAATATTTTTTGGTATTCATTTGACTTCGTTTTACATGAAATTTTTTAATTAAATTGATAGAATTTACTGGTATTGGGGGTGAAATTTGTTTCCATTGTCAACAAAAAAAATTCAAGAAAAATCAACTATCTTTTGGTGTTCATTTGATTTTATTTTATATGAAAATTATTAATTAAAGGGAAATATTTTTTTACAATGATTCTTAAAATTTGTTTTCATTTCAATAATAATAATAATAATAATAAAAATCGCTACAGTAAGATGGAAAATGAATTCTCACCATTTTTGGTGAGAATTCAAATTCATCAAAAAGTTGAAAATTATCTACGTGACCAAAAGATATGCAATCATTGCTTCTATATTTATATGCCTTGTTTTCATCTGCGCTTCTTTGACTCTGTCTCTAACCACCAAATATTTGATGTCAATATGTTTTGACCCACTATAACTGTTATTATTTCTTGAAAAGAACATTGCTGCAATGTTATCACAATAAATGGTGATTGGTTTCGATATGGAATCAACAATTTTTAATCTAGAGATGAAATTTCTTAACCAAACAGCTTGCGTAGTAGAAGATGTCATTAGAGTTTGTTTAACACTTTTCCAAGAGATAGCACCACCATCTAACATAAAATATAACCGAAGGTTGATTTCAAATCATCTTGAAATCTAGCAAAATCCGAATCTGAGTAGCCTACCACCTTAAGATGATTTAAACGTTGGAATGTAAACATATAACCTTCAATTTTCTTTAAGTATCTCGTAACTTTCTTAGCTGATTTTCAATGCTCTTGTCATGGATTCGATTGAAACCTACTAAGGACACCAACTGCGTAGGTTATTCCAGTCTAGTGCAAACATGAGCATACATCAAGCTCCTTACAAAACTAGCATATGGAATCATTTTCATATATTCCCTTTTTAGCCAATTCTTTGGATATTGAGTTTTCTTAAACTTATCACCTTTTATGATAGGTATATCAATAGTTGCATAATTTCGCACATTGAACCTTTCTAGAACACGTCGTATACAAGCTTTTTGAGAAAATTCCAACAAGCTACGATTTTTATCACAATGTATTTCAATACCAAGCACATAAGAGGCTTTTCCAAGATCTTATATCTCAAAATTAGCAAACAACATTTTCTTTGTCTCATGAAGTAATCTTAAGTTACTGCTAGCAAGCAATATGTTATCAACATACAGGCAAGAAAAATAAAATTTCTCTCACTGCTTTTGAGATAAATACATTGGTCAACTGTATTTTTGACAAAGTCAAGAGAAGTTACAACCTCCTCAAACTTGAGATACTATTGTCGAGATGCTTGCTTGAGGCCATATAAGGATTTGTTTAACTTGCATACCAGGTTTTCTTTTCTTTTCACAACAAAATCTTCAGATTCTCGTTCAAAAATATCTCTATTCAAAAATGTTGCCTTAACATCAATTTGATGAAGTTCCAAATCATAGTATGCCACAAGTCCTATAACAATTCGAAAAAAAATCTTTGGACGAGACATGTGAAAAGTTTTCAACATAATCAATGCCTTCTCGCTGAGCGAAACCTTTTACAATCAATCTTGCCTTCTTTTGTTCAACATTCCCTTTTGAATCCAATTTACTTTTAAAGATCCACTAGTTATCTATAGCTTTAACATCTAGAGGGAGTTCAATAAGTTCCCAAACATTATTCTGTTTCATAGAATTCATTTCATCTCCCATAACATTTATCCATTTACTTGCCTTAGGGCTTGTCAATGCTTGATTATAAGTATAGGATCCACAATATGCCCAATATTAAAATTGTTCTCCAATAAATATGTAATGTAATCACTGGACAATGCAGATCTCATTTCCCTTTGTGATCTCCTAACTTGTGGCACAGGAATCGATTCAATCCATGTTGGAGGAATTGAAGGTTCCTTTTGGTTCCTCGGTTCTTCATTAACAATTTCAATTGGTTGAGAATAAACTCCTACCTGTATAATAGGAACTAGAACAACAACTTGATTCGGTTCAACAAAAAGTTCTCTCAATGTTGAACTCCTAACATCACCAAAATCATTCTCTAGAAACCTAGCAGCAATAGAGTCCACAATTCTAGTGACACGATTTGGACAGTAAAACTTATATCATTTTGATCTCTCTAGGTACCCAATGAAAGAACCAAGAGTTGATTTTCGAGTCTAATTTCTTCTCAAATGGATTATAAATCATAACCTCAACTGGACATCCCCAAATCTTAAAATGAGCTACGCTTGGCTTGTGTTCTGTCCATAATTCAAAAGTTGTCTTTGCAACAACTTTACTTGGAACTTTGTTGAAAATATATATAGCAATTTTCAAGGCTTTACCCTATAGATACTCTAGCAAGTTTGTTCTACTCATCTTGCTCCTGTCTATATCTTTTAAGGTTCAATTATGTCTTTTAGAAACACCATTCTGCTCAGGTGTCCCTGACATAGTGTATTGAGGCACTATTCCACACTCTTGTAAAAATCTTGCAAAATCACCTATGTTTTGATCGGACTCATCATATTTGCCATAGTACTAACAACCACGGTCAGATCTTACAACCTTAATACCTTATTTTTCACATTGGTTCTCTACTTCCAGTTTGAAGTTTTTGAATTTCTTAAGTGCATGAGATTTATTGTTATCGAGTAAACATATCCATATCGTGAGAAATCATTAATAAAACTTACAAAATATTTGTTCCCACATATGGTGGAAGGCAAATGTCCACTAATATCTGTATGCATCAAGTTCAAAAATTCATTACTCCTAGTTGAACATTTTCTTGTAGACTTATCTTTCCTCTTATACAATCTACACAGGTGTCGAAATCAGAGAAGTTTAGAGAGAAGAATCTCAACTTTTACCAATCCTTCCATTCTATCCCTATAAATGTGGCCCAATCGCTTATGCCACAACAGATGATAATTCATGGATTAGAGTCATTTTCTTTGATACATTGGTAACACAAGAGACTTTACCATAAGGAGTTGAAGACGATTTATATAAACTATCACATAAAAGTCCATTTCCAATCAAACAAGAATCATAAAATAACTTAACCATTCCATTATCAAAGTTAAAGGTAAAACTACAAGCATTAAGTTTCGATATAGAAATTGAATTCCATCTCATTTGTGATGCATAAACTGTATTTTCTAAAACAAGAGAAAAATTGGACTCGAAAGATAACTTTACTATTCCTATGAATTTAATCTTCACTTGAATTGCATTTCCAACGCACAGGCTCACTTCATTCTCACTTGACCTCCATTTGCTTGTGAACCCTTGCAAGAAATTCGTAATATGAATACAAGCTCCAGAGTCTAACCACCCAGATTTCAAAGGCACATCTGCAAAGGAAAACTCAAAACAAACTAAGGCCAAGGGAATCTTAAGAGCCCTTAGCTTAGATGATATATTTATCATTTTCATAATGTGCTCTCTAACACTATTTGTACCATCATGTCTCATATTCATCAATTTATCCATCAGATCCCCAGTTTCAATTTTATTAGACTCAATAAATTTCTCTCCTATAGCATCCATAAAGCCCTTGATATTTTCATTATCTGGAATAACGCTCATAATGGAATCAGATATGGATCGATTAATAATTTTCAAACCGAGTTTGTTGGCCATTTTCCACTTTTCATATTCGACTACATATTCAACAGTGCTATTATCTATGGACTTCTCAAACTTTTTCTCCATCGCAAAGTCTAAGCCCAAAAGACCAATTGCTATTTTTATATCTCGTTTTCATCTCACACAATTATTTTCAGTTAATGTTTCAATACCAGATAATTAACTCGAAAAAGATGAGACATTATTAACCGTGAAAATATAAAATATCATACTCAATATCATCCAAACATAATGCATGCAGTCAAATGGATGATAAAATATCCATCTCATTAATATGAACTATTAATTAGAGAATTCGTAATTAAAATAAAAGCATATGAATGTTATTATGGTAAGAGCCTATATGCATCATCATAAAGTCACCTTTGAACTGATAATATAACATGTTATAAGGTACTCTTAAAACACATCATATAGCTAGTTAACAAAATCTCATTGTTTTTCGAAATTTCAACACCTTTGGGACAGAAAGATTTCTAGATCAAAGTAAATTCGTTAACCGTCTTATGTTATTTTTCAAAAATATCACATATAATAACACATTTGGACAATATATTATATGCAATAAATCTAAATTATATATTTATATATATATATATATATATATATATATATAGAGAGAGAGAGAGAGAGAGAGAGAGAATTGAATAAAGAATAATGAGTGTGCCACTTTGACAGTTCCCACCCATTTTTATTTCAAAATATTTCTCTCAAAGAGAAAATAATGATCGTCTCAATGCCTATGAAAAATTCAATCACAAAACAATAATTATGTAACTAATCATAATCGTCAATCGATTCATATGTGATTGAGAGACGAAATTGATAGCAAAATTTCAATATGTGTGTGTGTGTATATATATATATATGTCGTCAATCAAATTATTATTTATTTGATGTAATTTTAAACCGGTCAATTTTAAATAAAATTTTAATAGGGGGTCAAAATTGAAATTTTAGGGTCAAACCTTTTGAAAGTTCAATTAAAAACCCCTTTCTGAAAATCACAAACTAGCCCATTTTGAAATTATTAATAGAGCCCTTAAAACTTCTGACATCTCCACTCGTTTTCTGGAAA